CGCTCCCCTGCCATCCCCAATGCCCCCAACTGCCCTCCCCTGCTGGCCTGGTCGCCCCCAACGGCCCTCCCCTGCTGGCCTGGTCACCCCCAACTGTCCTCCCCTGCTGGACTCATCTTGCCCCAACTGCCCTCCCCTGCCAGCCTGGTCACCCTGGTGGAAGCCACGCAGAGCAGCAACCAGGACCTGCCCCTCAGTGAGGCTGAGGGAACTCCAGGAAAGCTGCAGAGAGCAGCAGCAGGGACCCGCCCCTGGCGGGGCTGAGGGAACTCCGACAGCAGGCACCCCCTGGGGCGACTGTGGGAACCCCAGTGGCAGATGTGCAGAGTGGCCACCAGGCATCCTGCCCCCGACAGGGCTGTAGGAACTGCGGCAGCCAGAGAAGCTGGCCCTGCCTCCACTGTGCGTGTCACCATCTTGTGACAGCATTATAACATTAGGGTTAATTTGCATATTACCTTTTTATTATATAGGACGAGAGGCCCGGTGCACAAAAATTTGTGCACTCGGGGGAAAGAGGGGGAGTCCCACAGCCCGGCCTGTGCCCTCTCGCAGTCTGGGACCCCTCGGGAGATAACGAACTGCTGGCTTAGGCCTGCTCCCGGTGGCAGAGGGCAGGCCCAATCCCTAGGTGCAGCCCCTGGTCGGGCTCCAAGCAGGGCCGATTGGGGGGTTGGAGCACCGCCCCCTGTCACACTCAAGGCAGGGTGGATGGGGAGGTTGCGGCGCCCCCCCCTATCAGGCACAGGGCAGGGCTGATCAGGGGGTTGGGGCGCCTTCCCGTCATACACAGAGCAGGGTGGATAGGGAGGTTGTGGCCCCACCCTGTCACACACAGAGCCACAGGACGATCAGGGGGTTTGGGCACTGCCCCGTCACTCTAGAAGGCCTCATGGCTCCGCTGCTAGGCCTCATGGCTCCGCTGATCCCGGTGCTGGGAGGCATATTACCCTTTTACTATATAGGGTAGAGGCCTGGTGCATGGGTGGGACTGGCTGGTTTGCCCTGAAGGGTGTCCTGGATCAGGGTGGGGGTCCCCACTGGGGTGCCTGGCCAGCCTGGGTGAGGGATGATGGCTGTTTGCAGCTGGTCACACCCCCTTTAGGGTGGGGGTCCCCACTGGGGTGCCTGGCAAGCCTGGATGAGGGGATGATGGCTGTTTGCAGCTGGTCACACCCCCTTCAGGGTGGGGGTCCCCACTGGGGCGCCTGGCCAGTCTGGGTGAGGGGCTGAGGGCCGTTTTCAGGCTGGCGGGTGACTGAAGCTCCCAACCTCTCTTTTATTTCTTTTTTCTTTTTTATTCTGGGATTATATTTACCTTTTATGGCTGTCACTGGAGCTGAGAGCCGTCTTTAGTACGCCAATTACCATGTTTCTCTTTTATTAGTGTAGACTAGAGGCCCAGTGCACAAAAATTTGTGCACTCGGTGGGGTCCCTCAGCCCGGCCTGTGTCCTCTTGCAGTCTGGGACCCCTCGGGGGATGCTTCCCAGGGGACTGGGCCTAAGCTGGCAGTCAGACATCCCTCTGGCAGCTGGATAGCACTCAGGGGATGTCCACTTGCCAGCGGGAAGCAGGCCTAAGCTGCAGTCAGACATCCTTAGCGCTGCTGAGGAGGCAGGAGAGGCTCCCACCACTGCTGTACTGGCAGCCATCAGCCTGGCTAGTGGCTGAGCAGAGCTCCCCCTGTGGGAGCGCACTGACCACCAGGGGGCAGCTCCTGCATTGAGCGTCTGCCCCCTGGTGGTCAGTGTGTGTCACAGTGACCAGTCATTCCCAGTCATTCTGCTGTTAGGGTCAATTTGCATATTACCCTTTTATTATATAGGATAGGGCATATCCATCAGCATGCTTTCAGCTAGAACAAAAAACTCAACCAAAAGTAGCTTATTGTCTCCTATAACCAGGTAGCTTAAGATTGGTCCCAGGGTTAATTTAGGGACTCAATGATGTCATCAAGAACAAAGATTCTTTTCTTTAAAAAAAACCTTTAAAAAATATTTTTATTGATTCAGAGGGAGAGATAAACATCAATGAGAATCATTAATCTGCTGCCTTCTGCACACCCTCTACGGGGGATGGAGCCAGCAAACTGGGCATGTGCCCTGACCAGAAATCAAACTGTGACCCCCTGGTTTATAGGTCAACACTCAACCACTGACTCACACCAGCTGAGCAAAGGTTCTTTTCTTTTTATGCTCCATCATCCTTATGGCTTGGGATTTAGGTTTATCTTTTCAGTTATAATGTTGGAAATGCATTTCCAGGCATTACAAACACACACACAGTCTTAGGGAAAAAGGGTGCACTTCCTCCCAGGGAGTAAAACCTTTCCTAGAACCTTCCTAGTAGAATTCTACTGAAGTTCCGTTAGCGTGATCATATGTCTACCCTTTAACCCCTTCCCCAACAATTTTTTTGTTAAAAACGTTTCTTTTTCAGACTAATTTTTTTATTTTGGTTCTATATAGTATTTTTGATGCTGGTTATGAAAACAGTTTGTAATTATTTTTTCTTCCCATTTTTGTGGTTAAGAATAGTATTTCCTCAGAAAGTTTCTAGATGAAATTATTTAGAATGGTACGTATGTAGCTGGTTTTTGAAGGTAAAGTTTTAGACGAGTATACTCGTCGATGACTGAAAAAAGAACATTTTGTGAAAACGTGTATACACGTTTCTGCCGGGGAAGGGGTTAACTAATCACTGGCAAAGGGAAATGGAACTGCCAGAAGGCCTTTTTAACCAATCACAAATTCACCCTCTGGGCCAGAGAGGGTCAATCTTCCCTGAGCAAAATGCAACCAGATACTGAACAAAAAGTTGTGATAATAAGAAAGAATACCTAGTGGATAGGCCAACAATCTATCTCATGCAATTAGAGAGATCGTAGTAGGTATATTTTGCAAAGTATCTAATGGAGTCTGGCACATCACAGAAATGATGGTTTTAAAATACGTCCACAAATCCTTTGACCCTCTTTCCTTTAAAAGGTAGAGCTAATTTCCCTATTCTTGAATGTGGACTGAACTTGGTGACTTGCTTCTAACAAGCAGAATTTGGCATGCAGGAGGAAGCCCATCAATGATTATCTTTCATCATTGATGTTTCTCTCTCTCTCTCTCTCCCTCTCCCTTCCTCTGAAATCAATAAAAATATATATTTTTTTAAAAATGTGGCAAAGACTGCTATTCATCCCCCTAATATCCATTCTCTTTCCTCAAAGAGAATTCCAAATTTTAGTTGAACATATGGCAGTATGAAATAAATACAATTTCTCAGCCTCTCTTGCAGCCAGGTATGAACTATGTGACTATGGCAGCTTCCAAAAATGTTCTATAAAAGATTGCTAACACTTCCCCATTGTTCTCTTCTTTGTCCTTCCAATAAAATGTAGGCCTGTGATGGTTACAGCTCTGGCTACCTATCCTGATTTAGAAAAATGAGGGCCACATCTTGAGTATGGTAGAGTGGTAAGCTAAAACGATCTTAGATCCCCCCAAAAATTTCATGTACAAGAGCACACCAATCAGTCCTAGACTCTATACCTCTCGAACTTTATATTGAGAATTTTTATCTTTGCATTGGAAAAAACTGTAATAGCAGCTTCTCTGGGATAAAGGAGGAAGGCAGATGTATAAAAGCAAATTATCTTTTAGTTGAGGATAATAGGGTGTTATCTCTAAATATAAATTCTTACTCTTATGACGGAAGTTACTCAATACTAGGTTCAAGTCTTACCCCTGCCACTAACTAGCAAATCCATCAACTTCTCTAAGTCTTTGTAAGACATCTATATTAAAAAATTCTTTTGAGTCTTAAAATATAATGTGAAAGTGTTCCACAGTATACATCACTATAAATAAGAGTTGATGAAATAATTACAAGATACTGGTGGACAGATTTTCTGTCTTGTCTCACATTATATCCCCAGTAACAAGTATTCAATAAACACTCAAAAAATAAATATTTTTAAGTTGCTAAATGAGTGAGTTATTCTATTTAGGAGTGAAATTTCAAAGGTCTTTAATATTAACTAAAGTTATTACTTGATTCCCTTAAAAAACAAATCTTAATTTTGACATCTGTCAAAGGTGTGAAGAGATAAATCTAGCTAATCCATTTATCTGGTTCAAAATTATCTGCTATAGCAAAATAATTCAAACTGGAATAAAAGCTGTGGTATAGAAATAAAATTTTATGACACTTTTTCCTTGAGATTACACAGGTATGCATGATGGCAGGGGGAGAGGGGTTGGCTAGAGGTGGCTAAGGGGTGAGGGAGGAGTGGGAGACATCTGTAATAGTGTCAAGAATTAAAAAAAATAAAGTAAAAGATTTTTAAATATGTCTTTATTGATTTCAGAGTAGAAGGGAGAAGGGGAGAGAGAAAGAGATAGAAACATCAATGATAGAGAGCATCAGTGATTGGTTGCCTCCTGCATGCCCCACACTGGGAATAGAGGCTGCAACTCTGACATGTGCCCTTGACCGGTATTGAACCTGGAACCCTTCCGTCCACACTGAGCCAAACCAGCTAAGGCCAAATGTTTTGTGTGTTTTTTAATATATATTTTATTGATTTTTACAGAGAGGAAGAGAGAGGAATAGAAACATTGATGAGAGAGAAACATTGATCAGCTGCCTCCTACACACCCCCCACTGGAGATGTGCCCACAACCAAGGTACATGCCCTTGACTGAAATCGAACCTGGGGCCCTTCAGTCTGCAGGCCGATGCTCTATCCACTGAGCTAAACCAGTCAGGACTTAAATAAATATGTATTTTTTAATATTTAAACTACTAACTTTACTATATCAAATAAAAGATTTCCTCACACTGGACTGTTTCTAAAGTATTTTATTAAATTAAATATGTAATTTGCAAATGGCTTCATAAGAAATTTTTAAAGCAAAGTTACAAAACATTTTCAATAAAAAAGTAGAGTTAACAGCAAAATTACATTTTCTTTATAGTACAAATAAAAACATTTAATTTCTGATATACTGTTTGAAATTTTTATTATATGTTCTCCAACAGATAGCTGCAATGATGTACTTTAATGAGAAGTTTCACGATTAATTCAGTTATGTGTTAATAACAGGTTCATTATTTGGACCATAAAAGTCAACTGCTCAACTTTATGGAAAATCATAAAATTTCTCATCATACAATGGGAAGTTCTAAAAGGCTCTTCAGGATGTAGATGTAGTCTAGCCTTGTGTTTCTATTAAATTCTCTTAAGAAGCATTAAGTAACACTGTAAACTTGAATTACATTTCAAAAATAAGCACCATTAACAAACATTCTACATAAACTTTACTTTTTTTTTTGGCCACACAAACATTTAAATTTGTTTCTTTTACATGTAATTTAAAATAAACACTATTTAATCACTGCACAGAAAAAATGATCAAACTTCATCTCATTGCACAATGGAAAAGCACTTAGAAAAAGCACTTGGAAAACAACAGCAAACATTATTTTTGTATTTTTTTACGCATTTTGTCATTTTCTTAAATTGAGAGCAGTTAAGACATTGTCAGAGCAATTTCCTGAGTTTCAAACTTTCCAATTTCCAGTTCAGACCAAACTTGTGTGTCCTTTTTCTATGCATACAAAACACTTGAATTTTCAAAGAAACAGAACAAAAATAAAGGACTGGAAACAATCCAACAGAATTGTTTGGCTTTTCTTCTCAAATGTGTTAAGAGACTTTAAAATATGTCAGGAATTCTACTATATATGTCCTGTATTTAAAGGCCATAGAATTGCAAATAATATGAAAACACTAATAAATTGAAAAAATAACTCAATCTGAAAATAACATAGGAATATACGAACAGCTAATAAATAAAAAGCAACATGCTTCCATTTCTCAGGAACAAGTAAGGAAGTGGATGGATTAAAATACTGTTAAGGGTCCCCTCAGTCCAACTGCACGTTCCCTGTGGTTTCCACACTGCTCTCTTTTCCCCCTGGTATATACTGGGATAAGAGACTACTGAAAGATATAACTGTTACTAAAACCTTCCAACTACACAAGTGTTGCACTTTAAAATATTAGTACTTCTGCAAAGAGCCATCCTAATGAATAATGTACTAGCACAAATATACCAACACATAATAACTTTGAAAATCCCCATACTAGGATTTAGAAATGGGCAAAGGGAGCAATTATAAAAATGTTTTTCATAATTATATGTTGTTTAAACTATGCTAGATAGTGGGGTAGGTAGCAGAATAGGATTAAACAGCTTTACAAAAATACACTCGATGCTTAAAATGTGCCTATATATTTATGAATGATAATTAAGGAGAAATGCCCTAGGTTTAGCAAGATAAAGTACAACATTAGAGTTGATACAACATAAAACAAAGCTGTTTTCATTTGGTTTTTGCCACAAAACACCTCACCTCTTGTTCTTTTTGACTGCTCCCACATTAATCATAATTATATTATTAAAATAAGTTTAGCTGAAGTGCTCAAAAGCAATTTTTCAACTGGGTGAGGAAATATAAAAACACAAAATATGCAGCTGCACACTCGAATAACTCTAGGTTTTAGTATTGTTAGTCACATTTCTTACATCATATTAATTTATACATAAAGATACTTTATATCATTAACAATTGTAATTTTATAAGTAGTTGAAACGAACTGTTTTATTTCTAATGTGTACAACTCTTCTAGACATTACTAAAAACATATGCTAAACTTCTGGCATTTTTTCTTTTTTTAACGAATTATTACAAACATAGGATATGAATACTTCAATTATCAGTCACTAACCATTTCTAAATAATAAACATTTTTATTTTTGTGGACATAAATTCAACAACACAGCTCTTCTTTTAAAAGCATGCTTTCATAATATATAAAAGTGTGTTTTTGAGTTCTATTTTCATTAAAATGTCTGTTATTTTTGGAAACCATTCTATAATTCAGGGTTCTTTCAGTAACAGCTCAATCCTATAATTCCTGATCCAAATGATTTTTTAAGCTTATGAAACAGCAACACAATTGTTAAAATTATATGTTGAAAGTATTCTCCATATCCAAAGTCAAATTTATTTAAACCACTGTCTCATACTGGAAAATTAAACTTTATCACATTAAACTTGTATAAAGGAAATTTCAATCGACATACTTTAACATACTAACAGGACTTTTTAGCTGACCAATAAAGAGAAGCCAATGAAGGTTTTCTTCCACGAAGCTGGCTCTTTTTAAAAATAAAAGTTAAAAACTTTTAAACTGTAGTGATTCTTTTTATAATTACATCAAAACTGTTTTCTGTATTTGTTTTTAAGTTAATAGAATTTTGACCTTATTGCAGTCTAGAAATTACAAGCCTCAAATATAAAAGACAGGTCTTTAGAACTATCTTAAATACCACTTACACAGACGGTTCTAGAAGCAGTTCTATAAGATAGCAACATTTGGTAGATATCTAACCACTTCTCCTTCTCTGAAACTTTTTCTGCCTTTGGAAAGTGTAAAACTGCAATATAATCTCAGACCCCAACTTTCCTCCTGGAAATGCCCACACGCAGAAAAAAGAAACAGAAGGTTAAGAGATCAAAATCATATACAAATACAAAGCAGAAGAAAGCACAACAGCATGTCTTCCTTCCAATAGGACATAGCAAAATAAAAAGATTTTTTAAAATTTTGTTTTGAAATAAAAAAGCATTCAAGTGTTTTATTAGTTCTCCTTTCTTTCATTACTATCGATACTATTAGGTCTTCACTAAACATCAAACAACAATTAATAGAAAGATAATTTCTCTTTTAGAAAAAATCTGTGCACTTTCAAACTTTAAAACTGGATCTGATAATTTTATCTAAGAAAATTATCTCTAATATTTTTAGCATATTTGGCATATGATTCAATAAAAAATTAAACTTCTCTTGAATTTTGAAAAACATCATAACATTTTTGTTTTATAACTGGACATTATTTCTAATAAAACACATGTTGATAGTAAAATTGACTAAATTACTGCAAATAAAACTAATTTTAACCTACAAACCTTCACACTTCTAAGTCAAGGACGTTTATTTTACTTTAGCATGACCTTCAAGCACCCTGGTTTAATTTCAGAGAACCTGCAGAAATGAGAAAAGAGTAATTTTAAAGATAAAAATTTCTAACTGAGTAAGAAATGTCTATTATAATCAATTCCAAAGGCCTATACAAAAATATATTTACTATCAAAGTACTCTCAATATCCAGGACCAGTATCTATGGTTATGGTCCTTTTAATTTGCTGTCAAAATAAATACAATCCTAAGGCTTGGGTTTTACTCCTAACTTAATAATTATTACAATTAAAGATTTATCAAAATTCTCAAGCCTGAATTTGACCTTCATGAAGAAGAGCATGCTGTATCAAGGATAAGATGTTGCCTACATTATATTATTTCTATGCCTTGTGTAACAAGAAGGAATCTCATAGGTAAGTTTAATTCATCAGGCCATTAAATGGTTTCAACACCCTCTGTGTGAAATTTTAAATTAAAAAAAAAACACTAGTCTCTGAAATAGATCATTAATCCCAACATGATAATGTTCTGGTCTAAGTATTCCTTTTGTAAAAGTAACTATAATGTCATCTGTTTTCATGCTCAGAATACTACCATTTTCTATAATGCAGCCAAACAACATTTATTACATGGCATAAAAAAAATATGCTACACTAACTGAAACTAGTTGCAGGGAAAGAAGGCTACTTAATGAAATACATCCTCAGGGAATCTATCTATCAACAGATCTTTTATTCTTGGACTTCTCTTTTCTTGTTGTTTTCTGTTGCAGAATAGTCACTTAATAAAAAAGAACAGTTCATATTTGTCAGCTAAGATCATTAATAGCATCTAACTTATTAAAGAGGTATAAATTCACAGTGACTACAGTGTTTCTGCTAATATTTAAACACATCCAAATTATAAACGTATTTCAGCAGAAGCTCCTAATTCCTTCCAAAATCCATAGATGTACATCTACTTCCAAAGGGATAAACAGCAATCTTAAACTATGATATGTGTAACCTATCTTGGATAATACATTATCAAAGAAATACAAATATTATTACTTTCTTTTAGATTTTAAATTTATGATAGAAATAGTTTTGTCAGATGACTGATTACTTCAATAACAAACACATTTTTCTTTCATTTCTGGTTTACTGGACATCATAAATCCAGCAGGTAATCATAATTTAAGCATGACTATAGCTAAAATCAGAAGGTCAAATTTAGTTAACTACTTTAACATATCGTTCTAAGCACACTCTTAGTGTTTACTATCTATAGATATGGGCAATTGTCAATTATTGGTAACAGCAATTTATACTCACCTGAAGCTATGGCTTGTGAGGTATTTAATGACAGCTGGTTTGATGCGAGCTACTCCTCCCTGGCTGTGATTGCCTCTCCCCGTAATCACAGACAGATAGGGCTTGCCACCATTCTGCTTAAATTCTGTTACAAAAGGAATTGGAATAGTTCAAATTCATTTAAATTACAATCTCAATAGAAAACAAACATGAACTACTCAAAACACATACGAAGTTATTTTCATGGGGATTTAGAGACTCATTACTTTAAAAAGCCCAGAACTGATATCTTTAAATGTAAGTTGTATCTACACTGTTGAAGTATGGAAGCCTTATAGCAATTCATGTGCCTAAAAACTAGAGTGAAACATTTTCCCCTGTGGGGAAGGAGATTTCCTTGTGCTATCAAAATATCTCTCTGAAATAACGGTAATTACAATATGACACCTAAAAATTATTACACCCATGGAGTCAGGCATTGCTTTAAGTGATTTATATTTACTAACTAAGAATCTTCACGAAAAATATACAAGGGAAACTAAGATGGCGGCAGAGATAAAAAACCGGGAAGTTGACGCCGCTCACAACAATTGATTAATACCTCAGAAAAACAATACGGACATCATCCAGAACCACAGGAAGCCAGGCTGACTGTAAATTCTACAACTAGAAGGAAAAAAAAGCACACTGAGAGCCGAGAAGCTGCAGAAGAGAAGCGCAGAGGTAGGGGCCTCGCGCGCGCGGAAAGGGGCTGGCACCTGCAGAAGAGAAGCGCAGAGGTAGGGGCCTCGCGCGCGCGGAAAGGGGCTGGCACCTGAGGACACGGCTGTCTTTTTGAATCCGGAGGGAGTCACAAGCTCCCGACGGCTCTGAACTCCGGTTCCGGGAAGTCTCTGGGGACCCAGGACTCATGCGGGGAGAAACTGGACTGTCTGGCAGTGGGCGATCTTGAGGGCGGCTTTCCCTCAGAGGTGCTTGCAGCC